TTTCCTTCCTCTTGACCAAATGGCAACATCTCTTTTTTCCTTCTCCCATTAAGGGAACCAGCCCTTAGACATCTCCAAAGAAAAGGGCATTTCAGATGCAAAGCCTCTCAGCATCACACCTACCTTCATCACCTGCACCCTAACACAGTACAAGGTTACAACTGACAAACAGTGCTAGTAGTTCAGATCCAGCAGGTAAGCTTAACCTTGCCTCTGACCATTTGGTTTTCAAAAGTGGCTTAAAATTAATTCCCCATTGATGTTCTACTCTAGTTGGCTTAGGGGAAAAACTGGAGTTCTAGTTCTAATCCATCCAGTAGAAGTTTGTGCCTGTCGATTAATTCTCAAAGAAGGATGGAATTCATTTATTTGTTTTAAAAATAGATGTGAACACAGCTTAAAGTAACTAGAAGTGTTTCTTACAGATAATACACATAATCTGTGGTGTATGAATTTCAGCACTGGAGTTCACTTGTATATATGTTGTTATCATATTAGCTTATCTTCAGGTAGGGATGTGTCTTATATTTCCATTCTCCTTGCCAGTGCCTTTATTTCCTAGGAAGATGTTTTTCATGCGCACTGTTTTCTCTTTTTTTTTCATCTCCACTTTCATTCTCATTCCCTTCCCTGAGTCAGAAAAGAAAAACAAGATTCTCTGGAAGATTGTCTCCCTCCACACCAGTCCTTTCCACAGCTTTTAGTTCTGTCTTCAGACGGCATCTGTGATTTCAAAATATTTTAATTCAATAGTGCTTTGTGCTTCTTAGATCAGATAAATTTAAATTATACTTGTTACTGATTAAACTGAAGGGAGAAAAGAATTAGTCAATGTAAACACCTTGATTGCTACTCTTTCAAGGGGCTGTTGATCTTCTGACCTCCTTGGTATGTCTTCCTTATTTCGCATGGTATATCCTGAACACCAGTGCATCTTTAGTCAGGCCAGGAAATGCAGCAGGAGAACGACTCCCTGCCTTTTATAGGAAAGGGGAAAATACCAGCTGACATTGGCCCATTAGAGTGTTTTTTAAAAATAAAATACATACTTTTTTTTGTTGGGTTTAAACAGGTGTGACCCATGGGATACTGTAGAGCTTCTTATCTTACCAGGCTGTGCTATGGTTTTTGCCCCTGAAGAAGTAGAGGGGTAGATATGCTGAAGGGAGAAAGGAAACAAAGTGACAAGAGAAAATGTTGAGGTTCTGAAAAGGGTTTGGAGGGTAGTTGATAAAGGGAAAAATAGCTGATGCCTCATAAGCTCAACCAGACAAAGTTATGTTCTTAGAGCAAAGCCCTACGTTCTATAAACTTATTTTGGGGGGTCGGGCAGTGGGAGGAGGGTGGGAATAGGGGAGTGGATGAGAATTGTTTTCTTCTAGTTTCTTACCGAAAGTTCCTTTTGAGAAACTTTATTCTTATATTAACCTAAACAAGAAGGATAGGAATGTTTCCGAATCTCGATATAAAATGCCTTGTGCATAATAAATATTCAGTTAATGTATCCTTCACTCTTCTCTCCCCCAACCCACTAAGGAGATGTTGGTGGCAAAACTAGATCCATTCCAGAACCAGGGAAAGAAGAGAGAATTATGAAACCCAAAAGGATGGAGTGAGATGAGCCATGACTGTTACTACCTTCTTACAGTGGCTCCTGGGGGAGCTTAAGGGCCAATTTTGAAATGTGAAGGGAAATCTTTATATAGTTTTATACGAGAGTTGTGTCCTAAACTCTGAGAGATCATTGAAGGATGAACTGTCAGGAGATTTGAAATTTTGTCAGTTTTCCCACTGACTGGCAAAACTCACCTTTCTTTATTGTTCTCTGATCCTTGCTCCCAGTTGTTAAAATTTGCTTTCATTATGAACATGGTGGTGGGCTACGAAGTAGCTTATATTTGCAGAATCCTTTTCCTTCAGCATGTCATGGTGACAATATCAAGGAATATGGGGATTTAGTAAATATAGGTTGACTGGGGTCTTCATGTATTTACAAATGAATTGCTAAATTATTCACTTGAGATTTGGAACTTAATATATTTTAAGGGTTTCATAATAAATAAACTAATGAAACTGAAAATCACCTTAAGACAAAAGAATACTTACATTTCATGTCATAAAACAGCCTTTACCATCTTGTAAAATGCTTAATTCCCAGGGCAAGAAAAATTCTTAGCCAGAAGAGTTTAGAATGTCAATTTTATTATATTTAACATTTTATCTTTTTTTGAAGCCTGGGAAAATTGGGATGCACTTACCATTATTAGAGCTAGTATTAATTGAATACTTTGTGTAGGTCAGCAACTATTCTAATAGTTTTATACATTATATATATATATATATATATATGTATATTTAATTCTCCTTATAACCATGAGATTGGTGTCAATTATCCTCCCTCCAATTTTGCAAATAAGGAAACTTATACACATAGAAATTAGAACTTGTCTAGCTGGATTTGTAGATGAATTTGTTACTAGCAATTTGGTGTATGATTTTATATCTCTTATTGTTTGCATCTACATACCATAGGACAAAATTACCCATACTCTGTGTGAAAAAAAAAAAAAAAGCCTATGGCCTTTGAGTGATAGTTAGATAAGAAATGTCTCCAAAGGTTTTCACATCTCTAAATGTATTTTGAGAATGCATCCCCGAATTTTTAACCCCAGAGCTACAAGTTCAGAATTTCCTATATATACTTTAAGTTTACCAAAGGGGCAGTTTCTATGAAGCTGAAAGTCTCTTTTAGGATCTCTTGTTTCTCATTTATAAATCCTTTCTGATCAGACTTATGGATGGGCCAGAAGCCATCTCCATTTATCTTTAGGATATTTGTCAAGGGTGGGAAAGTGGGGGGTGTGTAGGGAGATGGTATGTTCCTCAGATACCATAGCTGGGATCTCAGGGTCTCATTCTCTTCTGCTTATTTGTACTTTTTAGGAAATCTGTCTCTCGTTCTCTTCCTCCCTCATACATAAGTCTGTGAATCCATTGGAGGCAAATTGTCTTCTTTGTTTTTTAATCTTTACAGCCTTAACACTGACTATGATACTTTATACACATGAATGTGCTTGGGTTGAAATTTCATTTAATTTACCATTAGTAAACAGTAGAGTCACAGAAAAATCCAGATTATTATTAAGTTTAACCAGTCTTTTGTTTTTAAAGCATTTGTCATAGAGATTGTTTTAGTTATAGAGAATAAGTTGACACAATTAAAAATATTTAAGCAGTTTTTATTTTAAACTCAATGAATCAAAAAGTAAACTTTGAATTATATATCACAGTCTTTTCTTGGTGCCCTAAATAGCTTAGTTTCTTCTGTGGGGAAAACATCAGAATACCAAGTCACATTATGTGTTTTAAAATGTGTGAGAGAGGGGCGCCTGGGTGGCTCATTGGTTAAGCATTAGACTCTTCATTTTAGCTTAGGTCATGATCTCAGGTTTGTGGCATCGAGCCCCACATTGGGCTCTATGCTGGGTGTGGAGCCTGTTTAAGATTTTCTCTCTCTCCCTCTCTTAAAAAACAAAAAACAAAAAACAAAAAACAAAAAACAAAAAAATGTGTGAGAGCGTTTTGGATGTTATGAGTTCCAGTGAATTGTTTGGTAACTTCGCTATATTAGAAAGGTTAAGTAACATGCTCAAGGTTATATATTGATAAACACCAGATATGTCTGACTTCACATTCCAAATTTTTCCATACACTGTTTAGTAACATAAATAGGTGCTTGAGAAGATGTCAAGATAGATATCTAGTTCATCTTCTGAGAAGACAGCTTTCAACTAGATGCCAGGAATTTTGTTCTACCTTCTGCGTTTCTGAACATAACCAAATACTCACTGAAACAGAGCTACAACTGTGACCATTGCTGTGAATGAGAGGTATATGGTACGGCTTTCTCTAACGCTGAGGGGAATTGATTTAGGGAGGTCAGGGAAGACTTCCATGAGGCATTGAAGTTTGAGCTGTAGGAGACTGGACACAGTTTATCTGGCTTCAAGCCTAGAGCAGCATACTGTACTTGTTCTGGGTGGTACCACTTCAGGCTCAGATCGTTGAGTGCAAGCAGGTGAAAGACAGTGGAATCGGTTATACCAATTTAAGTTGTTAAAGGTTAATTCCACTAGAACTCCAACATGAAACTGGGCAATTAGGAAGAATTAATAACCAAAAGAAAACTAATAAGAATAAATCCTCAATATGTTGTTTCCATGTATTAATCCAGATCTTATTTCTCAAGTGTATATTTCTCAGTTGAAAGTTATACTCCACTTTCATTCCCCACAATATCCTTACCTCCCCAACACACACACACAGAGTTGAATTTATAATCACATAACTCTTGTAGGCTAATATTGAAAAGGCTAACTGGCCTTTCAGGGTCCACGGCCTGGGGGATTCCAAGTCAGAGAAGAAAGAATATGCTTGTATGGAACCAGAATTACCTTGGCTAGCCATTATCCTGTGGTCCCCATGTGTCCAGAGCTGCCCGGGCTCTTGAATTTACAAAAGAAATAGAAGGCCTTGTCCCTGTTCTGAAGGGGCTTGCTGCCTGATTGAAAGACAAGACGTGCATGAATCAAATATTCAAGACCCAGTTAATAAAGGGCTGAAATTGTGCAGGGAGAGGGGGTAGGCTTTCATAGAGGAAGAGGGCCTGGTTCAGGTCACAGTAGGAAAACTGCAAGAAGCCAGTGGGCATGAATCGCCCTGAAGGGACTGAATTAGAAAAAAAGAAAAAGGAAACTAGTAACATGCACTGTATGCCTATTATATTCTAGGAACTGTGTTAGGCAATGTTTTATCTTCTGTTGGTCTCATTACAGTTTTGCGAAGCATGTCTAGAAACCCATGTTTCACAGGTGAGGAAACTAGAACTCGGGTAATGTTATCAAACATTGTCTTACTGGTTTCAAATATTATCAAATATAATCTATATTGCACAACTTCTTTTTTAGACCTTTCTCTCTATTTTCATACTTTGGTTTTAGAGAACTACACCAGCTGACCATGATTGAAGACAATAAGGAAAATAAAGACCATTCCTTAGAAAAAGGAAGAGCAACTCTCATTTTTTCCTTGAAGAATGAAGTTGGTGGACTTATAAAAGCACTGAAAATCTTCCAGGTAAGCACTCTCCATATTATTGTATAATACTGTTCTCAAAGGAGCCTCTAAAATTATATTTAAAATATAAATTATTATAAATTCTTCAGATTCGGATGGGAGAAATTTCTGAAGCACTTAAGTTTCTAAAATATTGCTTAATTCTAACAAATGGGCAAGGGATACAAACCATTTACAGAAGAGAAGATACAAATAGCTAATAAAGAAACGGGGGAGGAAAGATTCACTTCACAGATTTAAGAGAAGCAGATCTTAATTTTGTTTTAATGAAATAGAATATTAAAAATTTAATATTATTTAATGACATTAGTAATATATTTAATGACATTTTTAATATAGCAAAATAGCAAAGATTCTACAATTATACTGTTCCCTATGGTCAAAGCTTCAATGCATTTGGGACTTAAATACACCTTTGGTGTGAGGGTAAATTGGCACAATGTTTAGGGAAACAATATGTGTTAGAGCCTTAAAATGTTCACACAATTTGACCCAGTAATTCCACTTCCATAAATCCATCTTTTAATTTTTTTTTTTTTTTGAGAAAGAGCACGCATGCGCGAGCTGGGGGGGTGCATTGGGGAGAGAGGGAAAAGGAGAGAATCTTAAGCAGGCTCCACACTCAGTGCTCAGCATGGAGCCCTATGCAGGGCTTGAGCTCATGACCCTAAGATCATGACCTGAGACAAAATCAAGAGCTGGAGGCTTACCTCACTGAGCCACCCAGGCGCCCCCCCATAAATCCATCCTGAGGGAATAGGTGTCCGTCAGGCAGAACAGGAATATTTACCGAGTACTTACTGTGTGCCAAGTGCCCTGTAGAATCTAAGGATGTGGGCCTGAACAACGTAGACACAGTGCCTGCCTTCGCACTATGTGTAATCCAGGGGGAAAGACAGACAGTAAACAAATAACAATAGTAAATAATTACATGTGTGTGAAGTGACCTGAAAGAAATACCAGATAGTATTATGATAACATTGAACTGGGGGACCTAACCTAGTTTATGGGCTTAAGGATACAAAGACTTATTTATAAGAACTAAAAATTATGAACAAACTACTTTTCCAAGGATAGGGGACAGGTTAAAGTATGCTAATAGAACATCATTGGGATTAAATTCTTAGACTCTGGAGGTGGACCCCCTGAGTTCAAATCCTTGCTCTGTCACTTATTGGCTGGGTGATCATGGAAAAATCAATTAGTCTCTTTGTGCTTTAGTCCTTTCATCCATAAAATGAGAACCCTGCCTACCTTATAGGGTCATTGTGAGAACTAACAGAATTAATATGTAAAGAGCTGATGTTAACTACTTTAAAAATCAAGTTTATATCCATACATGCTATTTTATAGCCATGTGAAAATAATATTTCAAAGAATTAAGAATTTTAAATACAGACCAGTTGTCCAGAAGAGTTGCAATGAAAAGCATGTTTTCCTACCCAATACACCATATCCTCAGTCCCATTCCCTAGAGTCAACCTCTCAACTATTTCTGTTCTTGATTCCCTTTGATGATGAATTTATAATATCTAAATATTGTTCTGATACCTCTCTTTGAATTATCAGCTTTACATATTTGCTCTCTTGTGAATGATATTGATACCATCTCCATCCCTTCTCTCTTTACTTTCCCCCAAGTTTGATAATTATATGATTATTTTAACCACTTTATTGATTACCTTTGAGTTTTTAAATAATGTACCTATATTTCTTCTTCCATCAACTTTCTTCTTTATTTTATTTTTAATCAAAGAATGCATGTGCATGGTTTAAAAAGTCAACCCACACTATAAGGCTTATGAAGAAAATAAGTGGTCTTCATCATCTCCCCTCATTATTAAATGTTTTTATTTGTTTGTTTGTTTATGGGGGGAGGGGCAGAGGGAGAGAGAAAATCTCAAGCATACTCCCCGCCCAGTGCGGAGCCTGAGGTGGGGCTTGATCTCACGACCCTGAGATCCTGACCTGAGCCCAAATCGAGTTGGATGCTTAACCGACAGAGTCACCCAGGCTCCCCTTCATATCTCCTTATTTTTAAGTTTAATTTAGTTTGCTAATCTTACAGCAAAGGGTTGAGTTAATCATACACTTTAAATCATGTGTAGACTATCATCATCGATTTATACAGCCTCCTCCTGTTTTATTTCATTGTTCCATTCAGTCTCCATTTCTCTCTTCTGATAGACAGCTGTTCTGATATATTTGATCTGTACATGGAATTATTTTTATGTGCACTTTAGAATATGTAGTTTTTACATGTGCGTGTTAATTTATGTAATTGTTACTGTATAATATACTTTTTCTTTCACTCAGCACTGTTTTTAATATCTACCCATGTTGCTGTGTAACCGTCTCATTTTATTTATCCTCAGCCTGCAGGAGGCAATTATTTTCAACTCTTTTAACTACATTTTCTAGAATTTACTTCCATGTTTTTTTTTAAGATTTTATTTTTAAGTAATCTCTACACCCAAGGTGGGGCTTGAACTGACAAGCCAGAGATCAAGAGTCCCATGCTTTACTGACTGAGTCAGCCAGGCGTTCCTACTTCCATGTTTATAAACAGTACACTTGTTGTGTATTTCTTGATTTTTTTCACTTGTAGATACCACCTACTGATTTCCTACAATGAAAGTAAAGACAGCTTTTTTGACACAGTCCCCTTTCCAGTGGCCCCCTTGACTTTCCTTCCCCCCATCTTCCCAATGAAGTTATGTCCCAGTTTTTGGCTATGCCAATGTTCATTCAGTGTTTTCATTCTTTTTTTTTTTTTTAAAGATTTTATTTATTTATTCATGAGAGACAGACAGAGAGAGAGAGAGAGAGAGAGAGGCAGAGGGAGAAGCAGGCTCCCAAGGAGCAGGGAGCCCGATGCGGGACTCGATCCCAGGACCCTGGGATCATGACCTGAGCCGAAGGCAGATGCTTAACCATCTGAGCCACCCAGGCACCCTGGTGTTTTCATTCTTAATATTATATAAATCTTGCTCAAAGAAGAACCATATTATCCATTATTTTGACTTCCTTTTTGGTAAACAGGATTACAACTTAGTGTTTAAAAGCATGGGCTATGGAGCAGGACAGCTTGAGTTTGAATTCCAGCTTTGACACTTATTAGCTGTGTGTCTTTGGGCAAACTGCTTAACTTTTCTGTGGCTCTTTTTCTGTAATTGAAATACATGATAGGGAATGTCTCACTTATTACTTCTACTTTATGTAAATTTCCCTGGGTCTTCCTGACTAAAATTTTCTTCCAGATGGACTTTTAAATTATTTAGTTACATTTCCTCAACAAATTCCATCAAGATTTTGATTTTGATAATGTTCAATTTATTGAGTAATTTAGGAAGAATTGACATTTTGCATCTTTGTCTCTAAAAACATAGTTTAACTTTATATTTATTCAAGTCAAAATTCAGAAAATATTTATGAATGCATTCTTATTGTAAAAATTAATAAGAAATAAACTCTCCTTTACTTTGTTAAAATTTTTTTTAAATTTTAATTTCAGTATAGTTAACATACAGTATATTATTAGTTTCAGGTGTACAATATAGTGATTCAACACTTCCATACATTACCCAGTGCTCATCACAAGTGCCATCCTTAATCCCCATCACCTATTTCACCCATCCCCCCACCCACCTCCCCTCTGGTGACCATCAGTTTGTTCTCTGTAGTTAAGAGTCTGTTTCTTGGTTTGTTTCTCTCTCTCTCTCTCTTTTTTCTTCTGCTCATTTGTTTTGTTTCTTAAATTCCACATATGAGTGAGATTATATAGTATTTGTCTCTCTCTGACTGGCTTATTTCACTTAGCATTATACTCTGTAGCTCCATCCATGTCATTGCAAATGGCAAGATTTCATTCTTTTTTATGGATGAATAATATTCCATTGTGTATATATACCACATCTTCTTTATCCATTCATCTATGGATGGACAGTTGGGCTGCTTCCATAATTTAGCTCTTGTAAATAATGCTGCTATAAACATAAGGGTGCATGTATCCCTCTGAATTAGTGTTTTTGCATTTTTTGTGTAAATACCCAGTAGTGTGATTACTAGATTGTAGGGTAGTTCTATTTTTAACTTTTTGAGCAACCTCCATACTGTTTTTCAGAGTGGCTGCCCCAGGTTGCATTTCCACCAACAGTGCAAGAGGGTTCCTTTTTCTCCACATCCTCACCAACACTTGTTATTTCTTTTTTTTTATTTTAGCCATTCTGACAAGTGTGAGGGGATATCTCATTATGCTTTTGATTTTCATTTCTCTGATGATGAGTGATGTTGAGCATCTTTTCATGTGTGTGTTGGCCATTTGGATGTCTTCTTTGGAGAAATGTCTGTTCATGTCTTCTGCCCATTTTTAAATTTGAATTATTTGGTTTTGGGTGTTGAGTTGTATCAGTTCTTTATAAACGTTGGATACTAACCTTTTATCAGATACATCATTTGCAAGTATCGTCTCCCATTCAGTAAGTTGCCTTTTAGTTTTGTTGATTGTTTCCTTTGCTGTGCAGAAGTTTTTTATTTTGATGTAGTCCCAATTGTTTATTTTTGCTTTTATTTCCCTTGCCTCGGGAGACATAACTAGAAAAATGTTGCTACGGCTGATGTCAGAAACTCTCCTTTACTTCTGATCAACTCCAGTATATTTAGTAACTGGCTTTCTTCTGTTGATTCCATGATAAAGTCTATGTTCCAGGATAAATCCTGTGTATTCCAATTTCCCAACATCCCTGATACTCTTTTTTTCTTGTTGTTCATGTTCCTAATAATTCTTGCTTCATCTCTACCTTTGCATATACAGTTCTTCCTGTTTGGAATCCTCCTTCTTCCCTTCTGTCTTCCTACTCTATCTATTCTTTAAGACTCATCTTGGTTCCTGTCTGCTCCGTGGAAATGTTTACTTTCTCTAGCCCATAATGCTTTTTCCCAGAACATCTTCTGCACCTACTTACTACTTGTGTTTTCTCTTAGCCTTTCATGTGTTAGCCAACTAGATTATAAACTCCTTGTATGTCTTGCTTTTCTTCGTATGCTTCACAGCCTTTACCTGCCTACATAGGTGTTCACCAAGTTAATTCAAATTGAACTGGTTAGTGTTGGAAATCAGCTATTCTAACCTCATTTATTTAGATGCTAGGTAATTGGTTCTTATGTTTCATTATTACGCCACTGGTGCTGGTCCACAGCGATCCAAATTGGTAAGAGAAGGTATCGTCCTCCCACAGGTTTGCACATATGGCACCCAGCTCAGGCTGGCATGGGAAGAGAGCAGAAGAAGCAATCTGCTTCAGCTGGTTACTAAGTTTGTAGCTTAAGAGATTTGAGGTATTAAATACACTGTTCAAGCTGTTCATCTAATTTTATTAAATGCATATTCACAAAAGAAACTTTCCTTTCTAAAGGACTAATATTAATATCACTTTTTGAAGATGCTTTTATTTGTGAGAAATTTTTGAAAAGTTCTTTTTATGTAGGAGATTGGATATTTTTATTTGAGGCCATTCAGTTCTGGCAATTTGAGGGACTTCTAGTGGGTGTTATTTTATTAGTTTCTGGAGGGTGTGATGAATTTTTCAACTTTTTTGAACAGTACCTGATATTTAGGGGGAATTATTTTGCTGTTGGCAGCACTGAAAACAGCCTTTTTCTCTTTTGACTATGATGGTGAGTTTGGAATTGATTTTTAGTGGTAGTGAAAGTAATGAGCTCAGAGACTATTACCATTTGAGGCTGTCATATGTATCTTTACTCTCTGCTTTACCCAGGAGAAGCATGTGAACCTGTTACATATTGAGTCCCGAAAATCAAAGAGAAGAAACTCAGAATTTGAGATTTTTGTTGACTGTGATATCAACAGAGAACAATTGAATGACATTTTTCATCTGTTGAAGTCCCATACTAACGTTCTCTCTGTGAATCCACCAGACAATTTTACTGTGAAGGAAGATGGTAAGTTTGAAAAGTGAAAATCCCACTCAGAAGATTAAGTACATAATGTGTGTCCAATCTTATATTTATCTTGAAGGCATGAAAATAAAACACTGTCTCTTCAAACTGCTTAGTTTGGTAGTGAAGGGAGCAGAAAATGTAATTGCTCAAAATACTATAGAGCAATTATAAAGTAACGTTTTATCAAGTGTGAGAGAAGCGAGAGGGAAACCTTGGGTATAAGAAAGAATTCAGAATAGTTAGAAATTGATTAAGTTTTCTCAGTTTCCAAATCATTAAGCATTTCTTAATTTCACAAACCTTCAATTTACGATCCCTGAGCACTTAGAAATTCCCACAGGGCTTAGCATCTGGCAGATATTAAGTGAATATTCAAATTTGTTGAGAATATTGATAGGTGCTGACAACTATGATGTGAATACATTCTTTACACACTCCTCCCTGTCCCCACTCCCACCAAAAGTAAGTGAAAAACAACAAAACCTCCTAAGGTTTCTAATGGCTAAGATCTTCTGTTGTGGAAAAAATCCTTGTCACTTACTTGGCACAAAAGATAAAAGGATAATTCAACCATATTTTGTATATAATACTCAATTTAAAGTAATCCCTTTAGAACATGCACAATATTGGGGTATACTCAGGGCTGACACTCATCTGTTATGTATTTCATGGCTGTGTAAGTTATTAAAATACTAATATGCTTCCATTTCTGAGTAGCAGATAGCTGCTTCCCTAAGTCCCTTGCATGTCCCCACCATGCTTAAAGCCTGTGCGCTCCAGATACCCTAGGAGTCCTAGGCCCACTACCGACAACCAAAGGGCTAACAGCTGGTGGAGCAGAAGCCTAGGACTCTGCTCATGTCTGTTTTGAGTGATTGTTGCCCCTGTGGTATTTCTGGTTAAATCTCTTGACTATCACTTCTGGGTATGTTAAAAAGAGCATTAGGCTGGAACAAGGAGGATTGAATTCTAGTCCTCTCTCTTCCAACAGAGATGAGTTTACCTTGGATAAATTACCTCTCTGAGCTTGGTTATCTCATCTATAATATGAAGAGTTTTCTAGGGGCTAAATGGTTCAGTTGATATTTAGGGAATACCAACTTGTGTCAGTTATTTCTACTGAGAAGCAAGGATACAAATATATGTATGGTCCCTCCCGTAGAGTCCTTCCCATTCTTTCCCGTGAGACAGATATAAGCAGATCCGTTTCTGAGAATCAGAGCAACCCGGAAGACAGAGAATTAGCTCCACCTACAGGGTCAGGGAAGGTTGATTTGGGTCTTGAAGGAAGAGAAGGATATTCTCAGGAAAACAGAAGGATGGGGTGGAGCAGGAAGTGGGAGTAGGGTATAGGTTATCCAGGCAGGAGAACAACCGGTGCAAACCCCCAGAGTTACAGGAGGGCTTGTATGTCTGAGGGAGGGTGAGAGATCCAAGTGGCAAAGACATCAGTGGTCTCTAAGAGCCTTTGCATCAACAAAAAGAAACATTCAAAGTTCTCATTAAATTTTGCACATTGGTCTGCAAAGTTACACATCCTAACTCTGCTTTTTAAAGGATAGCTAAATATGTAGCTTAAACAGTTTTGTTTTGGGTTTTTTTGGTGTATTTTAGGTCCATTACCAAATGTAGCATTTCACCAACCCTTAGGAAATCAAGGCTCAAAATATATTTGAACTCAAAAATTTCAAATAAAATTTACTTATTAGAAATAAAGCAATTTACTTGTTTAGGGGCGCCTGGGTGGCTCAGTCGTTAAGCATCTGCCTTCCGCTCAGGTGATGATCCCAGTCCTGGGATCGAGCCCCGCATCGGACTCCCTGCTCAGCAGGAAGCCTGTTTCTCCCTCTCCCACTCCCCCTACTTGTGTTCCTTCTCTCGCTGTGTCTCTCTCTGTCAAATAAATAAATAAAATCTTAAAAAAAAGAAATAGAGCAATTTACTTGTTTAAATTTTGACTCAAAGTACAAGCTACAATAAAAAATGTCATCCAAATGTATTTATGACTTTCTTAATTTTTTCTTCCTTATTGCCTATTTAAGATTGTCTCTTCAACTGTTAGTGGTTTTGTATTTTGCAGGTATGGAAACTGTTCCTTGGTTTCCAAAGAAGATTTCTGACCTGGACCATTGTGCCAACAGAGTTCTGATGTATGGTTCTGAACTGGATGCAGATCATCCTGTAAATATTTTTAATAAATCTTTTCATGAAAATAATTTAAAGCAAACTAAAAATTAAGGGAAATTCTTTCCTTTTCTGGGAGAACGTGCTTATGCTAGACTAAATAGGATCTGGTTTTAATCTGGATTTTGGGAAGTGCCGGTAGTTCTCCACACTGGTGGAATCCCGACTAACTTCCTGAAGAGCATCTAACTTCACTGGCTCTGAAACACTGTCCCCTATCTGGCATTCCTAGTAATAAGAGCTTTTCTAAGAATTTGGATTATTGGAAAGTGGGGGGTAAAGATAGGAGGGGGAAAAACTTATCACCCACGCTGTCCAGCACGACTGGTTTATTAGGCAGTTGATGAACTAGGAAGTTGTTTCTTTGGAAAATTATATGGGACACGGTACAGGCATAAGCTGGAGAGTTAGTAAGCCCAGAGCATTAAGGTTGCTTATGGAGTCCTGTGGTCCTGGGACGGTGGAGAAAAAAAGAGTGCAATTTTGGAGCGGTAGGCACCAGTGCTTTGATCTGCCGCTTAGGAGCTCTGTTCATTGACTGCATATTGCCTTAGATGGCCCTCAGCTGATCCACCTATTTTTTTCTATAATATCTCATCGAGCAATTTATTAATTGCAATTGTACTTGCTCTCAAGGCATTTGCAGTCTAGTTGGAAAGACAAAGCACACATCTTATAAATAAACATGAGATCAAATTGTGAAAAGTGCCAAGTGGCAGGAACAAATGCTTTGAGATATACACAAGAAGACAAACACTTCTAGTTGAAGAGATCAGAGAGAGGCAACATTTTAACGAGGACTTAAAGGAGTTTGGCAAGAAAGAGATGGGGAGGAAGGACAGTTCATTGCAACATGGGCAAAGGTTCACAGGTAAGAAAATCTGGAGCATGTTTATGGAGAGGTGACTAAATAATTTCTTTCCGATCCACTGCCAAGTGCTATTGATTTTACCTCCTAAATATTGCTTAAATTTGTTCCTTGTTTATTCCTATTAGCACACCTTTAACTTGTCTCCCAGCCTCCAGGTCACCACCTCAAACCCAACCTCCTCATAGTCACTAGAATGATCTAAAACCTCAGTATGATCATTTTCCCTTTTCTGCCTAAAGCTCACCAACGATACCTAGGTACCCATCTAAGAAAATTGAAAACAGATGTCCACACAAAAACTTGTACACAAATGTTCATAGCAGCTTTTGTTCATAATAACAAAAAAGTGGAAACCACCCAGCTGTCCATCCACTGATGAATAGATAAGTAAAGTGTGATGTGTCCATAAAATGGAATATTAGTGATTATAAAAAAAAACACAAAATACTGATACGTGCATGCTACAACATGGAGGAAACTTGAAAACTGATCACAAAAGACCATGTGTTATATGATTCCTTTTATACGAAATATCGAGAACACCCAAATTCGTAGAAACAGAAAGCAGATTAATGGTTGCCAGGGGCTGGGGATGAAGGGAAACAGGGAGAGTCTGTGAATGAGTATGGTGTTTCTTTGGGGGATAAACATTTTCTGAAATTATAGTGGAGGTGGTTGCACAACACTGTGAATGTACTAAAAAGCACTACACTGTACACTTTAAAATTTTTATGGTGTGTGAATTATATCTCCATAAAGCTGTTATTTAAAAAAAACAAAAACCCACCAATGACTTCCCCGTTACCCACAGACTGAAATCCAAGCTGTTTCCGACCTTTACTAGCAGACCTCGAACTAGTCCGCGCTGTGGCCCCCTCGCTCTCCAAGCTCAGCTCACATTTCCTCCCGCGCAGGCGCGGCGGCCTGTTTTTCATTGCTGCGCTCTCATTGGTGCTGTCCTTTCTGTCCTTTCCCACCCAGCTGTCCCCACTCCTTTACTGAGACTTAGCTTGGGAGTCATTGTTGGGAAACCCTTCCTGACCCCCACTACCCTTCTTCACATACTCTGGATGAGGAGTTTCTCTTTGAGTTCCAGTGGCATTTTGGGCATATCTCTAATAAGGCATTTAGCATATTGTTTCGTAATAATTGGTTGATGTAAACTCCTGGAAGACCCAGGTTGTGCTTTGTTCCTATTTGTTTCTCTGGATTTTAGCGCAAGGCCAGGTGCCTAGGAGGGGCTTGTAAATCTGTGTTAAAGAGATGAGTCTCATTCTCCCCTTTCAAGTGTCTTCCCCTTCTTTCCTGTTTTGTGTTATTGGCTGTTTACTCCTGGGCTTTGCTTTTTGAAGTCTTAATTTTACCTATTTTTAAAAAAATATTTTTCTAAGTATAAATTCTAATGTTACTACCTTCTTTATTAGCATTGTTTGCTTTTGCAAATATAAGTATGTTTTTACTTTGCGATAAAATCTAAGGCTAGATTTAGTTGTCATGACTTCATGTATTATTAATTATCATTTTATTATTAATTATGATTATAGGAAAATATAGCTGAAGAAGTAGTCAATTAAGAAAAAAAATCTCACATTTGGAAAAGAGTTGTGTATTTAACTAGGATGATGCTTTTCTTATTCCTCAAACCATTTTATTTTAGTAGCCGCAATAGTATAAAGCTTTCATATAACATTGCCTCTTTTTATCAACTTATTTTATTGAAATTCAATTTTTAGCATTAGTGTATCATTAGTTTCAGATGTTCAGAGTTCAGTAATTCATCAGTTGCATGTAACACCCAGTGCTCACTACATCACATGCCCTGCTTAATGCCCATCACCAAGTTACCCCATCCCCCCACCCATAACATTGCCTTTAAAATAAAAATGATCATACATTTCTAAACAGTGCTTGCTCAAAATAACAATAATGTAGCCCTTTAATATCGTAACTTGAGTAATAATGAAACCTTCCCTAAATATCATTTGTCAGTATTTTTTAGTATGGATATTTTTAAACTTTTCTTTAATTATCAGGGCTTCAAAGACAATGTCTACCGTAAAAGACGGAAGTATTTTGCAGACTTGGCTATGAACTATAAACAGTAAGTATATTATAAAAATAACTTATTCAATTTTGAAATAATAAATGAATAGAGTAAATTATGCTCATTTAGTAAATAAAAGATAAGTGCTATTGTTTATTGAATGCTAATTCAAAATAACTTCTCTTTGTCTCATTAGTGGAGACCCCATTCCCAAGGTTGAATTCACTGAAGGGGAGATTAAGACCTGGGGAACTGTGTTCCAAGAGCTCAACAAACTTTACCCAACCCATGCCTGCAGAGAGTATCTCAAAAACTTACCTTTGCTTTCTAAATATTGTGGATACCGGGAAGATAATATCCCACAATTGGAAGATGTCTCAAACTTTTTAAAAGGTAATATGCTTAATTCTTTGTAAGGAGAATGTTGAACCCTGTTGTGATCATGACAGAATTTTTAATAGAGGAATAAAGTTCAAGTATATGGGAGGTCAGAATTTTCCTTACTCCGTCCTGGAGTATTTGGCATCCCATTTGAAGAGGGACAATCATGATCTGGAGCAAGTGTAGAGGAGAGTGAGCAGAATTATAAGGGGCTTGGAAAAATGTATTATATAAATAAAATTTGAAGGACTCTTAGGGTATTTAACCTGGAGATATAGGGGACATTCAAGCTTTATTTAAATACTAGCTGATCATCTTAGGTAATAGGGGGAATACTATGTTGCCCTAAAGTAAATGACAATCGGATAGAAACTGCAAGCTTTTAGCTCAAAATGGAGAAGACCTTGTTAAATGAGCCATTTGAAAATGGAACAGGCTCATGAGATGGTTATTTCTGCATCCCTGGAGGTTTTCATGCAAAAGCTCTCTCCACCCACTTGTCAGGGATGTGGTAAAGGAGATTCAGGCTCCTTGGAGAAGATTGGAGTAAATGGTCTCTGAAGCTCCTTTCCACCCTAAGACTCTACCATTTTCCCAAGGAAGAAGATGTGCTAGGAGAAACATCAACAAAGATTAAGGACATTTTTTTTCTCTTTTAGTTCTTCATGCCTATTTGCTTCAGGCTTCCTTATTTTTTCTAGCTAGTATAGGAAGTAAAATGATCAGTTATCTCCCGGGTTTACGATATATAAGAAAAATAAATATCCCCTTTGATCTCAGCAGACTAGAACCTTAGGGAACAAATAGAAGTTATGTTTTCCACTCAAAGGGAGTTTAGTTTATTTCCATCATGGTCTGAAATGCCTATCTTTGAATTTCTTACACAGACCATCATAAAAACCTACATATCTATTCAACTCCATAATTCTTATTAGCCAACCACTATGCACAACACTAAGAAAAACTAAATAGGAAAAGGCACTATTGTTTTATAAGGGAAGAACTTGTATAAATGGTTCCTATAAAAACTAGATTTAAAAAAAGTGATTAAGGATGACAGAGAACCAGTGCATGTGACCTCACACTTGGGTATTACAAAGATGGGCAAGCATATGCTACAGAAGTTACCAGATTAAATTTGCTTGAGATTTGGAGGAAATATTTTGTTATGGATATAAAACTGAAAGCTGTTCACTTGGGGTCTGGAGCATGAGCTGGATGCAGAACAGGTTGCTAAAGGTGTTTCAAGGGAAATTGTCAAAGAAGGAAACCAAACCTAAATGATAGTTCAAACAAAACACCGGTTGGAAGGAGCTCTCTACACTGTCAAATATGGTGGCCCCTAGACACATGTGGTTGTTTAAATAATTCACCTTAATATAAATCAAAATGTTAGTTTCCTAGCCAAACTAGCCACATTTCAAGTGCTTAATAGCCACATGTGGTTAGTGGCTACCCTACTGGGTAGACTAGGTATAGAACATTTCCATTATTGTGGAGAGTTCTATTGGACCATGAAGTCTACGCATCAGAGTGGGGGAATCCAAGTACAAAAGCAACCAGATGGAACTGGAAGAGCAGAGGGCAAGGGTTTCAAATGAACAGGGAGCGTAGAGCTTATAGAGGTCCCCTGAGCCACTGCTGCCCTACTGGCAGGCCCCCTTCTACAGAGGGCAAGCCGTTGTAGCTGTTGGGGAATCGAAGAGCACCATCCAATTTAGATCAAATATACTTTGCAAAAGAAAGTACTGGCTAAAAATGGCATAGCTTAAAAAGTGATTCTGATCTAAATTAATAGATCTAGTTGGTTTTTTTTTTTTTTTAAAGGAAGTAAGATTCTGTCTAGGAGATATTCTAAACCCTTTAAGGAGACAGTGAGGTATAATATAAGGAGAACTGGGCTCTCATTCTACCTTTATCATCTACGGTGTGACTTTGGGCACATTATTGAGTCTCTGAGCCTCAGTTTAATAGTCGTCACAATGAGGAGAATAAACTTTAACTCAAATTGTAAACATGAAAGGAGATGTGATATGTAAGGTCTAACGCATTGCCTGTCCCATGGTAAGTGCTTAATAATTATTACTTTCGCATAGTACACACATGATACATTTAGTTTCCATATTCTCCCTCAAAGTGCTGCTGGGTACCACTGGCAGGATTAAAATGTTACAGTAAATGGTCTGTTGGGGTGAAGATTTTCTTCATTTTCTCCTTTGCTTTGCAGAGCGCACGGGTTTTTCCATCCGTCCCGTGGCTGGTTACTTATCACCAAGAGATTTCTTATCAGGTTTAGCCTTCCGGGTTTTTCACTGCACACAGTACGTGAGACACAGTTCAGACCCTCTCTATACCCCAGAGCCGTAAGTACTTCTGTTTAATATTCATTCATCAAATAGTTATTTGTCAAGATGGTACTTCCTTCAGGAGTCTTGTGTGAAGATTAAATGAATGAACATGTGTAAAGCATTTGGAACAGTGTCTGGCACATAATACATGCTCCATACTCTATATATGTTAGCCATTATCATTACTATTATTAATTGACAACCTGTTACCTGTTAGGTGTCACGTGCTAGTCTAAGCAGAGAGAATGTAAAAAGAATCAAGACAAAAATTTCTGCCTTCATATAATTTATTTTAATGGGGGATAGAGATAATAAACATCAAGTAAATATATATATAAATATATTTAATACATTAAAATATATAATATAATATATATACATTTATGTATATAAATGTGTATATATATATTTAATATCACCAATCAATGGTGATAAGTGCCATGGAGAAAAACAAAGCAGAGAAAGGGGAAAGAGGTGTATGTGTGGAGTGTTTCTATTTTGAAAAGTGTGATCAGACAAGGACCCACTGAGAAGGTGACATTTGAGCAGAGACCTGATTTGGTGGGGGTAAGGGGCAGACATGTCTATGGGTATCTTATGTGTATATGTTTGTGAGTGGCCTAAGTTTTGAACCAAAATAGTTTCTTTAGTAAATTGTTAGTGTCTTTCGTGGTCCATTTGCAAAGTAATACCACCTGAATAAAAGTAAGATCAGATTTTGATTTGATTGAATTGTTGACCATACATTTATATGTGACATAAGCATCACAGAGTGACAAACCTGTACCTCTTTTTCAGAGATACTTGCCATGAACTCTTAGGTCATGTCCCCCTTTTGGCTGAACCTAGTTTTGCGCAATTCTCCCAAGAAATTGGCCTGGCTTCCCTTGGAGCTTCAGAGGAGGCTGTTCAAAAACTGGCAACGGTATAAATCGGAAAATAGCTGTATATATCAGTAATTCTTATTGGGGTGGGATGGGAGTGTGAGTTTAAAAGTGCATATTCAAGATGACTGTTAGAAAATTTGTCTTTGCTCATATTTAATTTAATTTAAATAATTTCAATAGCATTAAAGGAGGATGTGAAATTTTAAGGTTCATCAAAAGGAGACATGTGCTTTAAAAAAAGGTAGAGAAACACTAGAGTTCAATAATGTTAATTATTTGTAGATCTTTTTTCAGTAAAAATGATAGGTTCTCTGAAAATGATGCTAAAAATGTTTTTGAGCATTAGGTACAAGACACCATGCTGGAAATACAAAGATGGAATAAGGCCTGGTTTCTGCCGTCAAGGAATTTATATACAACTTAGGGAGACAGTTGTGTTGAATGGATGAACTCTACAGAGAAGTTCAGGCAGAGTGTTCTGGGAGGGCAGAGAATGGCTTGGGGAAGGCTTCATGGAAGAGGAGTATCTGGACTAGCCTAGGGAAGATGAGTCATATTTTCATCTGCCAAGAAAGGAAGAAAGAGCATCTTAGGATGAGGGCACACAAGGAAAGACAAGGAGGTGCTTGGTGTATCTGGGTTTCAAAATGACAAGAAGCTGGAACAGAGTGTGTTAGGATGGGGGAGGTAGTATGAAAAAGGCTAGATGATTAGAATAGTGCTTCTCAAATTGTGGTTTGGGGACCCCCTGGTGTTCCTGAAAACCTTGCACAGGGTCCTTGAGTGAAAGATCCACTCAGAATGCAAAGTGGATTTCAATATAAGAACTAGAGTTCATTGATATGGTTTCATATTCCACATTGCAACTGAACTTCAAGAAATTACCACTTGTTGAGTTTTGATGTAGTGTCAAAGAAGAATATCCGCAGTTATCTGAAAAGGCTATCACAATACATAGCCTTCTTCCAACTACTTTCTGTGTGAGGCTGAGTTTTCTTCATATACTTCAACCAAAACAACATATGGCAACAGGTTAACTATAGAAGCAGATAAGAGAATCCATCCTGTTTTTCCAGCCAGACATTAAATAACATCTAGACAGACATTTAAAAAGATTGGGAACAATGTAAAACAGTGTTTCTTTCCTGACCCTCTTTTTTGTGTCTACAATGTAGTTACTTTGCATTAAATTGGTATGTTACCATAAAATGGTTTATTACATTTTAAAATTAATTAGTAAACATGTAAATGTTTTCAGTCTTAACTCACATAAAGAAAAAGTCCTTCAGTCCTGAGTAATTTTTAAGAGTATCTAAGAGTCCTGGGAACAGCAATTTGAGAAGTGCTGGTTTAGAATAAAGCCAGATTGTAGAAATACCTGGGAACAAGTCTGGGGATCTTGAACTTTATTCCAGGGCATTTTGGGTCAGTGACTAAGAGTTGCAGTTTGTTTTAAATTGAGTTATTCAGGCTGTGAAAGTAACATCAATGTCCTTTTGCAGTGCTACTTTTTCACTGTGGAGTTTGGTCTCTGTAAACAAGACGGGCAGTTGCGAGTCTTTGGTGCTGGATTACTTTCTTCTATCAGTGAACTGAAGGTAAAAGCCATAAGTCTCTCCACATAGCCATGTTTACTTAATATAATTGATATGACCTGAAAGAGTTTTTGGATTTGAACAAGTGCATACTATGGAAAATACTTGGGGTGGCAGTAAACATTACTTAAGAGACAATTTTCTCTATTTCCTAGGTTTATAGAGATAGCCTAAATGTTTTTTACTTATATATGGAATTTAATTACTTAATTTCTTTCTTTTTTGAATATAGTTGACACACTACAGACATATCTTTTATTTATTTTTTTCTTTAAAATTTTTTATTGTTATGTTAATCACCATACATTACATCAGTTTTTGATGTAGTGTTCCGTGATTCATTGTTTGCATATAAACACCCAGTGCTCTATGCAGAACGTGCCCTCTTTAATACCCATCACCAGGCTAACCCATCCCCCCACCCCCCCTCCCTTCTAGACCCTCCATTTGTTTTTCAGAATCCATCGTATCTCATGGTTCGTCTCCTTCTCCGATTTCCCCTTCATTCTTCCCCTCCTGCTATCTTTTTTTTTTTTTCTTAACATATAATGTATTATTTGTTTCAGAGGTACAGATCTGTGATTCAACAGTCTTGCACAATTCACAGCGCTCACCATAGCACATACCCTCCCCAATGTCTATCACCCAGCCACCCCAACCCTCCCACCCCCTTTCACTCCAGCAACCCTCAGTTTGTTTCCTGAGATTAAGAATTCCTCATATCAGTGAGGTCTTTTATTTATTTAAAGGTTTATTTATTCATTTTAGAGAAAGAGAGAGTGTATAAGCAGGGGAGGGGCAGAGGGAGTGGGAGAGAGAGAGAATCCCCGAACAGACTCCCTGCCGAGTGCAGAACCTCATGCCGGGCTTGATCCCAGGACCCCGAAATCATGACCTGAGCCAAAACTAAGAGCTGGCCACTTAACCAACCAAGCCACCCAGGTGCCCCAATAGACATATCTTTTATATAAAAAGTATTTTAAAGCTTTTGCTTACAAAGTTTTGCTGTTCCCTCACCATTTTTAGTGTGTTAGCAATAACTTCTAAAGTCTATGGAATTTTTTGAGAATTTTATTTATCTAATAAAGGAATGAACTTATGTTTGCTGAGTGATGGGTGTGTGTCAAATACTATCCATGGTTCTTCTTGCTCTCAGGAGTCTACCACCTGATGGTGGGTATAAGTTATGTATATAAATTACTAGTGCAGGCTAGGAAGTAAGTGTCATAATGCAGGAATATACATAAATATTGTTGGGTGCCTCTTACACATGAGTGTTAGAACAAAGTCATGGAGATGGTCTTGGGGCATTTATGGGGAACAGCAAGCCATTTGTTTTGCTGGAGTATATTGTGGGTTAAATAATGCTGTAGGAAATAAGTTTGGAATTGTAGGTTGGGGCCATTCCATTAGTACCTTCAGAGATGTGCTGATTCTGGTGGTTGTGTTTGGGTTGTGATCCATGAAATTAAACAGTATTCTTTGATTCACTGACTCTTTGTTTTCTAGCATTCACTTTCTGGACATGCCAAAGTAAAGCCCTTTGATCCCAAGATTACCTGCAAACAGGAGTGTCTCATCACAACTTTTCAGGATGTCTACTTTGTATCTGAAAGCTTTGAAGATGCAAAGGAGAAGATGAGGTAAAATATATCTTCCGCATGTCTTAACTTCCCCCTACAAAAGATTGGTCCAGTAATGGTAACAAATCACAGAAGTAGGCAGCTGGATAATTAGAAGCCTACGAGGTACCTTCTGCCTATGACGTATCTCCCTTTCACAACAAATATTTAGAGTATGTTGTTTATGGTGATGTTTGGTGATTGCATATATGAATCAGATACATTGAGAAACTGGTTTCTTCCCATCAGAGTTTATAATCTATTAGGAAAATAAATTGTAGACAAATTACTATATAACAGCATAGAAAGCCTTAGAGAGATACAGATGAAACTTTGTTCTCCATTTTATTCAGGAGCAATTTATTCCAGATGGGAGAACAGGGAAAGTTTAATGGCACCTGAGAAAGCACTTAAAGGATAAATAGGATTTAGATATGTTAAGTTTTAGGCTAAGGGACAGTGTAAAAAAGGTAAGGGAGGTGGAAAAATATAAGAGTGTGATGCAATGAAGCTATGTTTTAACTATTTTTTTAACGATTTTGTTGATTGATTGAGCATGAGTAGGGGGAGGGGCAAAAGGAGAGGGAGAGAGAATCTCAGGCAAACTCTGTGCTGAGCATGGAAACTGATGTGGGGCTCAATCGCACCACCCTGAGATCATGACCTGAGCTGAAATCAAGAGTCAGATGCTCAACCTACTGAGCCACCCAGGTGACCTGCTATGCTTTAACTATTAATCAGCTAAGTGTGTTGTTAAGAAAGGAGGACATTGGAGGCAGAGAAACTACTCAGGAGCTTTTTGTAATACTTAAGGTGAAAATAAGAGCCTGGGCCAAGACAGAGGTAGTAGGAAAGGAAAGGACTATAGAAGCAGAATCAACAAAACATTTGCTGGAAGGGGTCTGAGGTCACAGTGAGATCATTGTGGGATATATGGGGATTGAAGACATGCTCCTTGTCTTCCAGAGATTTTCTGTTACTTGCGGAGTTAGGCCAGGCACAGAACCAAATAACAATACTAGCAGGGCTTCCTCTAGCACGTATGGCCCCTTTGCGCGGACTTGAAGAAGGGGTCCCTTCTGGGTAGACCAGGTGGATTGCAAGCTGCATTTCAGCCTTTACTCATGTACGGTTGTCCTCCCCTGTGTTCCTAGGGGTCCTGAACACAATTGTTCTTGGGGTTGCCAAATGAGAAGTTCAAATGTTGACTTGATGAAGAGGGTAGGACTTGAATGCATGAAGAAAGGGTAGAAGTTAGGTCATTTGAGAGAAGGCTAGAGGAAGACATTCTTTTTTTTTTTTTAAAGATTTTATTTATTTATTCATGAGAGACAGAGAGACAGAGAGAGAGAGAGAGATAGGCAGGGGGAGAAGCAGGCTCCCAAGGAGCAGGGAGCCCGATGCGGGACTCGATCCCAGGACCCCGGGATCATGACCTGAGCCGAAGGCAGACGCTTAACCATCTGAGCCACCCAGGCGCCCTAGAGGAAGACATTCTAAACAGAAAGAATGTCCACGTGCAGGAGGCAGGACTGTTCCTGGCCTGTGTGTGTGTGTGTGTGTGTGCGCACGCGCGTGCACGTGCAAGTGCACACACGTGCAGATGTGTAAGTGTGCAGGTGTAGTTAAGTAAATCTCAGCTGAGGGGTCTGTTACTAGGTGGTCAAGTGCTGCCATTGTCTCCTGATAAAGCTACTGTAGTTGGTCTCCTTACTGTAGCCAAGAAATATATAAAGTAATAAATCACCAGTAGAGTCATCCACAGGATCTTTCCCTAGCAACGCAGGTGTGGATGTGTCTATGACAGTTTTAGTTTTCCTACCTGTGTAGGATTCTAGGGGATCTCTGCATGTGCTGTGTAGGAAAGTAGTCAGATTGGTTGTGTGAACAGCTAATAAAGATTTGTCTTTCACCTAGTGTGTGAAATAGGTTTGCTGTTGCTCATTCAGTTTTCATCCTCTGCTTCCTAGAAATTGGTTGCCTCTTATTTGTTTTCTTAAACAGAGAATTTACCAAAACAATTAAGCGTCCATTTGGAGTGAAGTATAATCCATACACACGGAGCATTCAGATCTTGAAAGACACCAAGAGCATAACCAGCGCCATGAATGAGCTGCAGCATGATCTCGATGTTGTCAGTGATGCCCTTGCGAAGGTCAGCAGACAGCCAAGCATCTGATGCTGAGAGTGTCTGAGTGTCAATTCAGAGGCCTGTGGGTCAGCTCCTGCTTTTCTTGAAGACCTGGTTGTGGAGGGACAACCTCCAAACAATATTCTCCACTCCTATTCCTTAATTAGTCCTTTGGAAATTTGTGCCTGACTACTGTATACCACTACCTATTATTTTTTTGGTAACAGCTTTAGTGAAATATGATTCATATACCATACAATTCACTGACCACTCATTTTTTATAGAGAATTTTTTTGACCCTAGAGATAGATCTAATACTGGCTTGATTCTCTTTTCCCTAATCCTTCTTGAATAAAATGACTTTTATGATCACTTAAAATGCCTGGATGGGTATCATGGAGCTAACCCATACTATTACCTAAGATCCTCTTATTTCTAAAGTATCTTACTTATCATTGAATTTGTGCCACGCTTGATCACATTGACAGCCCTAAATTTAATAGGAGACCAGCTGTCTCCACTGCTAGTGTGCGCAGAAGTATAGAGGCCTTTGCATGTGAAGCATACCTTGTAAAGAGGAAGTAGTCTAGTTTCAAGTGTGGTATCTTGTAGGGAAATATGAGTAGCCAAATCTGGAAAGGTTGATTGGGGTATAATCCTCAAGAGCAGGCTAAGAATTTGGGACTTTCTTTGGTATGGAACTAGGGAGCCCCTTCCCAAGCGACCATCCTCCTTGAGTGAGAAACTTTCCTTTCTAAGGCACTGCACGATGCTGGTTTTGTTTTAGGTTATCGGTTCTACTCATGGGGCCAAGGGGAACATGGGGCAGGCGGGACCATTTGCAAGGCCCTATACTCACACATGCAGAGTATTATGATGGGCTTTGTCCTCAGGTTAGCAGGAGATTGTATTGTCAAATGGAGAGTTCAAACTAAGACCGATGAGAGAAGCACAAAGTTAAAGTTGGGAAAGCAACACTGAGCATTTCATTTACAAGATATAAGTGAAGTCATAAATACAGAGGCAAGGCATAGGGGTAGAGGGTGGGGAAACAGGTGAGGAAATGGGATGTAAGAAAGGTTAAGAAGACCATTTTAGGTCTGACACCAATAATGCAAGGGTTGCAAGGACTGTTTTTTTATGTGCTGTTGGCTATGTCATACAGGCAATGGACCTGATAGAAGAGGGTGAAGCTGGATTCCTGAATACATGCTGTCTGTTTGATTTGCTCCTTTCCTCCTCCGCACTCCCTCCTCAGGTTTCTGTTTCTGGTCCTCTTCTCTCTCTGCCATCTCTTCATGGGAAATGTCATCCACATCCATGACCTCAATTCCTTTTTTTTCCCTTTAGGATTTATTTATTTATTTTAGAAGGTGGAGAGGGGCAGAGGGAGAGAGAGTCCTAAGCAGACTCCATGCTGAGTGTGGAGACTGTCACGGGATTCGATCTCACAACCCTGAGATCAGGACCTGAGCCAAAACCAAGAGTCGGATGCTCAACAGACTGCACCACCCATGTGCCCCCATGACTTCAATTCTTATTTTCTATGACTCTCATATTTGCAGTTCTAATCTTGTCATTTTTCTTGAATTTTTGCATTTTAAGTCCAGCTGCCTGCTGGATATTTTCCATCTAGATGTCCCTAAATCAGGCTAATGTTGTACAACTTCTTACGGTATCATTCACATAGAATGAAATGGGTTTGTACAACATGGTAGTCCTATCAAGTATCTCAAACTCAAAAGGTTAAAGAACCCCACAAACAAAACCCTCAGAATCATCTGAATATTACACCCCATCAGCTTCCTCTCCTAGTGATGTCATTTCTGTTAATGATATATTAAGGGTCATATTTTCCACCAATTTTTCATTCTTAATTAGCTACTTAAAAAACTGTGTTTTTACTTTTTTTCCCACATTAATAGTCAAATTGTATACCCTTTAACACATTTTATTTCACCAGACCACTAGATCTTTTAATCCTTTTTAGACCTCAAAAGAAATTATAAAAAAAACTTTTTGTCCTACAATGAAATAGAATTGGGAAGAGAAATTCATGTTATTTCAGATTTATACATTACTTATAATTTTAGTTAAGTATAACTATTAATAGACCTTTGATAGTAGTTGATCTAAGTTAGCTAATCTAAAATCATTTGAAATACTGATTAGCTAGTTTATAGTTGGTGTATTTGGTTGCAAGGAAATCTATTGTAAGAAAATCATCATAGATAACAGTTAATAGCAAATTATACATACTGTATCTGGTTATATTAATACAACTTTGATCATGGTAAAGAATCATAGTTATTGAATTTTAAAACTATGGTATTTAAAACCACTCTATGACTAAAGCACGCTAAAATGAATGTTAAAGCACAATCATTATTATTCATTACTTCAGAATAATGGAAATATTTCATGATTGATTTCAATTCTTCTAACCTCTGGATTTGTGATATTTGGTAAATCAGGAGTCCTGAGAGTTTTCATGCATTTTAAATATATATCTTCAAAACATCTAAGAATATGTTAATATTTACTCCAATATGGGAACAGAATTGAGCCAAAAGTTTGGTTTATAATTCTTAATCAGTTACTTTTTACTTAAAGACTTAGGTGATATTTTCCTGACTTTTTGAAGAAAGCTCCAAAAGCTGGTTGTCAGAATGCCTATGTTTCTTAATCTGCCTATTTTGTAATTCAGAGTTATATAATAGTAATGACACACCAGAATGTATATAATTATACTTAATTTTTAAGTTGGCTTTCAAATTGAAAAAGGAAAAAATCCTGGAGTTCTTTAAAGGCACACATAATAGAGTTCATATATTAATTTCTAGGAAATGAATAAAGATGCTTTGGTCCATTTCAGTCTAGTCTTTACTATGTAATATACATTTATGATTTGTAAGTTTGTTATTCAACTGGATAATAAATGGACACAAAATTCATGTTTTTTTTTTCTTTGAAGATTTTATTTATTTGAGAGAAAGCACAAGCAGAGGAAGGGGCAGAGGGGGAGGGAGAAGCAGACTCCCCACTGAGTGGGGAACCTGACATGGGGTTCGATCCTAGGACTCTGGGATCATGACCTGAGCTGAAGGCAGCCACTTAACTGACTGAGCCAACCCAGGTGCCCCAAAATCCATGTTCTTTTTTTTTTTTTTAAGGTTATTTATTTATTTATTTGACAGAGAGAGAGAGAGAGAGAGCACAGCAGGGGGTGGGGGCAGCAGGCAGAGGGAAAGGGAGAAGCAGGCTCAACAGAACAGGCAGCCTGATGCAGGGCTCGATCCCAGGACCCTGGGATCATGACCTGAGCAGAATGCAGATGCTTAACTACTGAGCCACCCATGTGCCCCCAAAATTCATGTTCTTAACAAGCAAAAAAATTTTTTTGTCAAAGATAAGCTAAAAAACTGATTTATGGGGCGCCTGGGTGACTTAGTCAGTTAAGCATCTGATTCTTGATTTTGGCTCAGGTCATGATCTCAGGGTCGTGAGGTCAAGCCCCGGGTGGGGCATGGAGTCCGTTTATGATTCTCTCTGCTCCCCCCAACCCTGACCTCCGGCTCTCCCTCTCACTCTCTCTCTCAAAAACAAAATAAAACAAAACAAAACAACAAAAACCAAAACCCAAACCTGATTTAAATATATATTAGCAATGTCGTAAGTTTAAGAAATCTATAACATCCTTACATTTCTTGAAAAGCCTGTGAATATGAGATATAAGAGAATCCAAACACACCTGGAACCTAGTAACTACTTTTGGAATTTTTGATAAAGTCTCAATCATATGTTCCTCCTCTGTATAAGGAGTTAAATCTACTTCACTGGGTTATTGGAGGAATTATGTTGCCAAAGGGCATTGTAAAAAGAAACATCCATATGTAAAGAATCATTAATATAATCACTGTCCTGATCCGGGATCCCCCATAACTTCTGGATGACTTTATCTTCCTCCAGAGGGAATTCTAGCAGGCAGTATATAATGGCGTGGGAAGATCTTCTTAGTACAGTCAGGGATAAGCCAATTTGAAGTTGACCATCAGTCTTTGTGAGGGCTGGTCTATTTCCAGTTCACCTCTACTCTCAGAGTGCAGCACTTTAGGGATCCCAAAGGCAAGCTATGCGTGTGTGCTGGGGCTTCTCCTTGTGGACCCTGGACTCCTGCCTTTGTCCCCTCCTTCTGTCATTCTTCCCACCCCTATATGATTGCTGAAAGTACTGTTCAGCTTCTCAGCTACAGCTTTCAGCCCAGTTTCTTGGCCTCCAAGTCACTGCTTGCTAATTAGCAAACACTTCCAGTGGAAAAGTAGTGCCAAATATAATCTCTCAGCTTCCAGATCTTGGCCTTTCAAGTTCTGGCTGCTTTGATAGTTCTCCAATGACTTGAAACAGATTTTTAAAATATTATCCCCCAGCTTTTCTAGTTGTTTTTGTGAGAGGCTTGGTCTATAGCTAGCTAATCTGTCTTTATCAAAGGCAGAAATCTGACCTTGGAGTAAATCATTTAACTTCTTTGAGCCTCAGTTTTTTTCATCTGTAAAATAAGATGATCTAAAGGAAAACATTTCCTAACTTGTATGGTACATAGATGTAGTCTATATGGCCCCAAAGTACTTTATACTCTCCTCTTACGTGGAAACAAGGCATCTGAAAGTGATACCATCAAATAGTTTAGCCCCATTCAAGAACTGCAACTCAGCCAGGCTGCTAATGGGAAGAATTACTCAGTGGCATGTACATAGTTGAAATAGTGGCAACATTGCAACACTTCCTAGAAACTGTATTAAAAGATATAACATAATGATATAACTGTAAGTTAGTTGAAGTATCGATGTATGTACATTCAAGGGGTGAAATTGAAGGACAAGTGTATTCTTCTAGATCCTCTCTCTATTAAAACTGACTCCGGGCGCCTGGGTGGCTCAGTTGGTTGGGCAACTGCCTTCGGCTCAGGTCATGATCCTGGAGTCCCGGAATGGAGTTCCGCATCGGGCTCCCTGCTCAGCGAGGAGCCTGCTTCTCCCTCTAACCCTCCCCCCTCTCATATACTCTCTCTCATTCTCACTCTCTCAAATAAATAAATAAATCTTAAAAAAAAAAAAACTGACTCTGTGGGTAGTCCTTGCCCCTTTGGCTGAAATCTCAGGTCCTGGCCATGAATTTTCTGCTCATTCCTAGCCCTTAGCTTCTAATTTCTCTGTCTCTTTTCTTGTTCCTCTGTGCCCACTCACTAGGATGCCTCTGGCTCCTCCATGGTTTGGGGATGGTGGTGGGGAGGAGAGGCAATGAGTAGAAAGTTCTGTTTGGTCTGATACTGTTGTGAGTTGGCATTAATGCTGACTCATTCTCTGGGGGTGTTTTGGAGGAACTTCCCACCCTCTTATTTTTGGGGGGATCTCTTGATGTGACTGGGCTGTTGAATTCATCTCCCTCACTCTCTA